TTTGAAGGCTGAATTGAGCAGGAGAGAGATGAATGGAGGAAGAAGCAGAATGCAGATACAATTTGGCTCCACATAGAATGAATAATATATAAGCTCCATTTGAAAGCGGGAACCTTTGCAGAAGAAGGGTTTGCATAACCATTATTAACCATTCAAGCATTCATCTTTGTGTGTGTCGCCTCAGCTCTAACTCGAGGTCCTAGATTCCCAATCTCTATTTGTATTTGCTCTCTGCCTTCTGCCTTTCCTGATCATATGTGCAATATATATCACAAATTGAACATGGCTTGTTGTTTCAGCAAATGAATGCTTGTTTTTCACTCATCTGTTTTAGTCACAAGTTTATGTTGTATCTGGTAAAGAAATACAGTAGTGGACTGTGGATTGGTCAGCCAAAATACATCATGCTGTAGACGTAAAAATGTGGAAAGAACTCCAGACACTAGTCCTGTCTGGTGGAAAACTGTTATCTGCAAACACCATCCACATCTTCACACACAGACTCAGAAATGCAAACACTAGCATCTTGTGTCAATACCTTTGGCCTGGTCATATACAAGATCTGCTGAAAAGTGGCCTTTAGAGGTTTGAATCTTCAAAGCAAGCGCACTTCCCTGTTGGTGGGAAGTGTGGCTGCCTCAGGTCTTTGAGTACTTCAAGCAGACCTTACTTAAAATTCTCCTCTTTTTGCTACTGTTTGAGTTGGAGTGCTGTAGATTTGCCATTTCTTACACTTTACCTGTATGTGTTAGTGGCCAGCTCAAAATACCTGGTGTACAGGTATTATTTCAAGCTGCTGTATTCTGGCTATCAGACACAAAATAGGCTTTTAAAGCATTTAAAGTTTTTTGTTGCCTAAACTTGCATGGTATAATATTTTAAATGTGACTAGCAACATCTGAGATGCAGTTCCTGCCAGCAAGCAGTTAAATTACTGCTTGCCCATATGAGCTGCTATCTGGTTTACTCCTGGAATAGAAGTTTAACTCGTTAGACCAAGTTACTCCCTCTAATTCAAGACCTATAAATTTCACCCATAAAAAAGTTTGAAAATACAGTGGCTTTTTTTAAGGTAGAGAGAGGAAAAAAAAAAGAAACCCTGTTCTTTCATTGCATGGATAGCATTCTCAAAAGTGCTACAGCAATCTGGTTTTAATCTTAGTTATGATCCTAAGTAGATGCCTTCTTGACTCTGGCATCATCATGGCTGCAAAATAAGAAGCAGGCTCACTGGCACTGAGCATAAACATGTCCTGAACTCGCTCTGCCTCCCGCGTGTGGAAAGCTGGCAAAAGCAGCAAACGCTGTGCCTTAACACTGTTTTCCTCTGCTTGATTGTGTTTAGGTGGGACAAGTGTACTGCAAAGCTGCCGTTGTCCACTTGATGGTATCAAGTAACTGAGCTTGGGAGGGTATGGCTGCTTCAATGCTCTCGACTCAGGCAGACGTGACCGGAGATTTTTATAACAGGTAAAACATCTGTGTTACGTTCTTCGCCTACACAAACAACTCCTGTGCTAGATTTAATCACACGGTGCATAATTTAGCTTGCTGCTTGGATTCTGCAGTCCAATCCAGTCTGTTCTGGACCAGCCTTGCTGTGAAGTGGATAAATAATGCCTCCATCAGGAAAATCACTGTGGTTTTTCTTCAAGCAGAGGACACTGCTAATTTGCATTTTCAAAAACTCTGTTATCTATTTCTAGGTGAAAACACATGGGAAATAATTTTTCCTCTAACTCTGCCATAATCAAATATTTCAACAAACATTTAGCTTACATCTTTCCCAGAACCAAGGTTAGCAAATAGAAAAATGTAACTTTAAGCTGAGGCAATGAGGAAGACTGGTCTTTCTCCTCTCACTCTTCTTCATCATGTTCCCCTTGGTCTGAGGATATGTTTGAGCAGAACCATTAGCACATGAGCATAAGTCACATCTCTTTTCAGAGCTGAGACCAGGCAGGATTAGCATTTCTCCAGTTGTGTACAAGTATAGCTACCCATTGTGAGAAAGAGCAGGAAAACAATTTCTTGGATATTTTAGAGTTTTGCTTTCCCAGCTTGGGCTTTGCTTCTAGTTTGGCAGATTTTTCTATTTGTCCCAGACAGAAAAAAGAAAGTTTTTCCATCCTACCTCTTCAGAATAAGAAACATCTAGCATGGGATTGTTATTCAGTAGGAAAATGGCTTTGCACTGTGACCCATAGAAACATGGTAATCTGGCTCATTTGGCAACCTTTATGATGGCAAGTATGTTCAAATCTAATGTAATGAGGAACTTTCTGTCTCAGGCTAATACATTTCTGATGTAAATATGCCTTGTCCAAAATGAATGGATGGCATGATGCTGGGGCAGAAAGATGCTTGGGCAGAAAGATTGCATCATTTGGCCAAGCAAAACATCGAGCCAGGTCACACTCACCTATGGGTACGTGGTTGTCTGTGCCCCACGTGGAGCACTGCAGCAGCCAGAGGGTGTGTGTATGTGCCCTGAAAGAAGAGCTGATCCCAGGAGGAGATGCAGCCCTGGCCCAGATGAGCAGCACCCACTTAGGCACCACAAGTGAGGCAGTGCTGCTGTGAGGCAGCAGCGGGGTGCGGGCAGCCATCCCGCTCCCAGCGGCGCCCCGCTAACCCCTGCAGAAAACACCAGTCATATCCTGAGGGTTTGCAGGGTTACTTTGCTGGATGTCACCACGAGCAGGGGTGAGTAATGGTGCTGGCTACTCACAACAGGGGGTACTGTGAAGCGCTGGAGCTGGCGCCAATGGCTTCCAGCGCCTGTGTGCTGCCAGCCACTCGGAGGCAGCCTGGGCACTGCTCATACCATACTTGGGGAGCCCATGCTGAGCACCAAATAAGAGCATGTTGGTATTACTTATTTTCTGCTGTCAGTTTATTAATTCAAATACTATTTCAAGTTCTTATTGCCGACACATAGTCTGTGAGCAAGTCCTTGTTTTGAAAAGTGCAGTTGTTATTCACAACTTCTGACCACAAGGTATGTGCTGCTCGGTGGAATTTGTTTGTAAACTCTCTCTTGCAACTCTTAACTGTTTATTGTGAAGAAACTATCACCTAAGGCTATGTAATCACGATTTCTTGTCCCTGACTAGAGTACACAAAAGTTTTTGTTTAGAAAGAAGAGACAAATTATGAAGAATAAATGACTAGCTATTAACTTCTGGTACACTTCATTCAAAGTCTAAGTAATTAGACTGAAACCCACAGAGCTTTTTTGGATTCATGTCTTCATGGCAGTTGTGACTGCTTGAATACTTGGGAAACAATAGGTAATAAAACTGCACAAATATGATTCTATAAGGAAACTTGATTCACAGTATAAACCAACACTCTTTGTCTTGTCTGAGAAATACCATAGTTGGGACAAATCTGTTTTTCATCCCATATCTTGTAGGTAGTCAGTATTCACATAAGTAAGCTCCAAACAGGGTGAGGTGTGTGTTCGTTCAACATCTGGTCCTGCTTTGAGAAGTTTCTCTGATTCAAGAAGTACCGAAGTACCAAAATACCAAACACAAGAAATGTCACACAAAAGTGCTTTATAGGAGAAGCACTGTGGTAATGTAAAGGTGAGAACCAAACTACAGCAGGTCAATGCGGTATTTGGGCAGAATGAGGCAGACAGGAAAGGACTAGAAACCACCAAGCTTCCCATCAGGCCACACCTGCAATTCTTTGGATGTTGATGCTCCTCTTCTAGTCAACCAAAGCAGGCACAATGAAAACTTTCCAGTGTGTATGGAACAGTGAAGAGGCAACTTGATAAACAAACAAGCATTAAGAAAATTGGCTAGAATTAAATCTCCATACAACCGGAAGTTAGTGCAGGCTGCGGCTTTGGAAGTGACCCCTCACGTCGCCTGCCTGCGACGGTGAGTTACACACGTTTATCCTCCGCACTCTTAAAAAAAGCGGGACAACGGAGCACTCCCGTGCTTCATGCCCGCACCGTGGGCATGACAGCCCGGCCATCAACCGCCGTAAATTTACTCGGTGTTCCGGAGCTGCCCCGGCGCGCCCAGCCGCCTCTTGCAGCCCCCTCCCCGGCACCACCCGGCGTGGGAGCCCCTCCCGAGGCCTCTGCGACCCTCGCCCGCCTAATTTGTGAGTCTGATGTCCTGCACGCCGTGCACGTATTATGCAAAGAGAGTCCCCGGCGGCCCGCAGGCCGCCCCTCCGCCTAGGTGAATAAATGATGCCGATGAGGGCGGGGATGCGGGCGGCGGCTCCGCGGCTGACAGCGGGGCAGCGCGGGCTGCCTGCCGCCTGCGGGCTTCCCCGCCTGGCGCGGCGCGGCTGCTGGGCGCCGGCAGGCAGGTGGAGCGGAGCAACAAGTCCTCCGGCGGCGGGGAGGGGAGCGGGAGGCGGAGGGGGGCGCTTCCCGCCCCGCGCCTGAAAACCTCTCTGACAAGTGGCAAAGCGCTCGCAGAGCACGCTGCTCCCTCCGAAGGGCGGCTGGAAGCCGCGGGGGCACGCCTCGCACCCAGCCCCGCTGCCGGCTTGTGGCTCGTCGCCCCCGCCTCCCGCCGCCGCCTCTGCCGCGGGTGGGTCGCGACCCGCTGCCGGCGGTGCGCGGTGCGGTGCGGGCTGCGGAGCGCGCCGCCGCTTCGCCTTCGAGGTGTGAGCCGGCTGCGGTCTTTGCTTCTACTTACCGCGGTTTTTTTTTTTTTTTTTCCCTTTTTTTTTTTTTTTTTAAGATTTTTTTTTTCTTTTTTTTTTTTTTTTTTTTTTTTTTTTTTTTTTTTTTTTTTTTTTTTTTTTTTCTTCTGAATCTTGATACTACTCAGTCACCTCTCAGCTCTTGCCCACAAATGTCATTCTGCTTTCTCCACTGTCTGTCTGTAATCTCTTAATAACTCTTGTTTTTTCCCTTCTTCTTTTTCTTTTAAAGAATTGTTTTGCCATTTCGTTATTTATTTTCTCCTACTTCGTTGCTGTTATTTTTGTTATCGTTGTTTTGTAAACTAATTGCCTCCATGGGGGGCGGAGGAAAGGAAATCAAAGCTGCCGCAGCTGAAGGGTGTGCGAGCACGCTGGGGAAGAGCCGAGGAGCCGCAGGACAGGATGGCAGCGGGAAGCCCGGCGGCAGCGGGAAGCCCGGCCTCGGGAAGCCCGGCTGCGGCGGGGACCGCTGCCCGCGCCGGGCCGGGCCGGTCGGCTCCGCGCTGGCCGCGCTCCTCTCGGCGCTGGCCGCGGCTTCCTGCGTCTACCTGGGGGTACGGACCAGCGACCTTCAGGCCAGGGTCGCGGCCATCGAAGGCGCTCGAGGGGGCTTCTCCGCCGCCGCCCCGGTCCCGCCGCTGCCCGGCTTTTCCTTGGAGCAGCTGAACGCGATGATGCAGGAGAAAGTGGAGCGACTTCTCGCCCAGGTGTGCGGGACGGGGGTGGCCGCCGCTGTGCGGTGTGCGTGTGGCGGGCATGGGGGATGCTCAGGGCGGAGGGCGGCCGAGGCCATGAGGAGGGTGGCCGGGGAGAGCTGCGCGGGTGGAGGGGGAAGCGGGGAAAGTGAGCCCGCAACCCCAAGGGTCGGCGGGGCCGGGGGAGGAGCGGGCTGGGGTCCCCCGGGCTGCTGGAGCGGCGGGATGGGGGTGGCGGGGACCCCTGCGTGCGCCGCCGCCGGGGCGCTCCTCTCATCTGTAACTTGCCGCCGTCCCTGCGCTTCTCCCCCGCGCGTGTGAGCGGGCAGAAAGACCGGGGTCACTTGCGGCGGGGCTGGGAGAGACCCAGAGGTGTCGGGCTTGGCGTTGTTGGTGTGGGGGTGGCGAGGTCACTGAGGCACCTTAGGCCGAGCTCCAGCAAAGAAGCCGCCGCTGGTTGCGCAGCCTCTGGCATAGCGGTAAATTCCAGCTTGCGGCCGCGGTCGGGAGCGCTGCCTGTGGCGGGCGAACTCGCTCGCCAAGTGCCCGCCCTCATGTTACTTCTCTCGCCCCCAGAAATCCTACGAGCACTTGGCAAAAATACGAGTAGCGAGAGAAGCGGCTCCAGAGTGCAGCTGTCCACCAGGTAACAGCCACAGCTTGGAAATCTCCTCTCAGAGGCTTGTAACTCTGGTCTGTTTGGTATCCCACGTTTTTGAAATACACCTAAATCAGGTCCAGGGGATGCCTCTTCAATCAACAGCTGTTCCTTGGGTACAAAAGCTGTAAAGCCCAGAATGACTGGTTTTCACTGTGGCCCTAGGTTGAAATTAATGCTAATAAAAGCCACTCATTAGGCTGGATGTTGCCAAACAAGGACACTTACAAAGACGTTAATGATCCACTCCAGCAGATGAAATATATTCCGTCTTAAATACAGTAGTACTGAATCAAGGTACTGTGTACTCAACTTGGGAAGTGGAGCAAAAGCCCCTAGCAAAAATATTGAACGATTTATAACCTGGATTGAAATAGGTGGAGGGTCTGTTGCAAGTTAGCAGTAATATATACATGAGCCTTTTACCATTTTGGATTTTCGTAGTCTTGGTGGAAAGCAGTTTCCATAGGAAGGAATTGCAGGTTTTTCCTACTGAAGGTTCAAAACTGTGTGTTTGTGCAACGAGGGAAATCACTTGACTTTGGAAATGGGCCCTTCTAATACTGCACAGTTGTTCGTGCATTCATGTTGAAATGTTTCTGTGGTCTTTGTGCTCATTTGTAATGATTTGATATCTGTCAATGTTGTTTTAGCTTTAGGAATTTTTTCTAACCTATATCCAAGTTCATCTAGCATCTTAGAAGTTAAGAAAATAATGCCAGTGTTTCACAGGGGGATGTAGGAGTGTCATCGTCCTCTGTGATAAGACACACTAGATGGAGAGGATGCTTTGGATATCCTCTCACTGTGTATGAAAAACCATCTCCTTTACAGGTGGAATATTGACTTTCAACAGGACTTAAGCTGATTATGCTTGCCAGCAAGATGTATGACAGTACTCGTATATGAGGAAGGAGCTTTCCTTGTTTAGGATATAATTCCTGCCAAACTCATTAGTCTGAAGGGACTGCTGAATCTCAGTGTTAAAGCTGCCTACAGTGGTTGGTACTCTTGTTTTTGTGATGATACAACTGAGGACAGAGTACTTACTTGCTGGTGTTGGAGTTGGCCACGGCTATCATGGGAAAGACAATATATGTGACTAGGACTTTTAAAAGAGTGCATAGAATTACTCAACTCCCAGTTAGTTTTGGTAAGGAATGCTGGTTTCCTCCTGTAGTATATATATGTTCCTTAAAGGCTGACGTAAGCCAACTGATCTTATTTTTTTCTGTTGCTTAACTGCAGTGAATTACAAGATGCAAGTTTGTGCACAGAAAAGAGAGTTACTCATCATGTTATTTGCAGTGATGCATTCTGTGAGCCTGAAATGATGTTTAATTTGATGCTAAGCTCTTTCCCTCTTTCTTCTTCCTTATTTAAATCCATCTGTTATCATATTTTCACTTACTGTTTTCGTACTAAAGGTCAATATCTACTTTTTTCATGGTTGGTGTTACATGCTGCTTTACTTCTTCACTACCACTAGAGCTCCACATTATACCAATTTTTATCTGACCTTTTTTCTTAAGTATGTGTTTTCAAATAGATAATGTGCAACAGAATGTTTCTCACATGCATTGTAAAAATCCTTGCTACATGAGAGTCAAAGCAATTTGGGGAACATGTTTGAGGGAACAAGTTTTATAAGACCAGGAAAACTTACATGAATCATTACAAAGTAAGAAAAAAATAAGTTGCAGAGAGGAGGGATTAGAAATGTGATATGGAGCTTTTCACCTCTTGGTAGCTGTTTCAATTTGGAAGCAAGTTTGTAGTGACTGAAAGATGTTGCCATGTGGTAGCCTCATTTTGCAGTTGATGCTCTCATGCTTGTTGCCAGTGGACAGGTGTCTACCTCAAAATGGAATCATCTTGGGAGCCTTGTCGGAGAGAGCAGGGGCTGAGTGGCACCACCACCTGAGGACAGGGCCTTCCTAACTGCAGGCATTAGGCAGAGCAGGAGGGGATAGAAAAAAATAAATTGTTGCTTCTTCATTTGGTTCTCTCTGTTAGAACTCCTTTTTGATGGGACAGGATGGGCTTTTGTTTTAATCCTTAATGTTGCTGTTACAAACAGTTATGTTCAAAAAGGTATTTGGTTTAATAGGAAAAGTATCATGGTACATCAGTGGTTTTTCTGTTGCCTGCTATTTGCAAAGCCAAAGAGTACATTGCTTCTCTCTCACGTGGTTCCCTTTTGCTTCTGTATTCTGTTCAACTTCTTAATTTCTTTCCATTTGTTTCTGTAATAATTAAATACATGTCTGTTAGAGATGACTTTGGAAGGCCTTCATGGTACAGTGGTGATTTTTGAAATGTTTCTATGCTGTCAGTAAAGGTCACTACTGAGTGGCCACCAGGACAGTTTCCATCACTCTTCTCTTTAAAGAGGAATAAAGATTATTTAAAAGTAGGTTCCATTGTTCTCTGCCAAAAGAAGTGAAGGAAATTCAATCTGCAGACAAGAGGGTGAGAACGTGGCCCCTGGTTCAGGATTAAAGTTATGCAACTGGCAGAGATGTGATTAGCTTGAGATTTTCATCCCCTTTTGCCTCTCTATGGTTGGAACCTTTTCATTCAAAGGGAAGTGGGTTTGAATGATTCAGATACCTATGGAAGCCAGCTTCACAAGCTCACAGCTTGCAGAACAGTCTACATGTCGCTCCTTTTAATTCAGTGGTAGCCTTGAATTTTATCCAGTGTGAAGAGTGATCACATTTCTCTTTAAAAACTCTATTTTCACTAAATGTGATTTTTCTTGATCTTTAGTTCTATTTTCTTATAAAGAAACGTGATGTGGGGTGATGTTAAGAGTCTTAGCTTTGACTCTGTGCAACTAAAACCAGATACCAAAGATTTTGTAAATATTTTAAAAATTACAATAGTAGCATTCTTTCTCTTAAAGCAGAGTAATAAAGTTTGAAAAGTAAATTTGTGCTGACATTCCTCTTAAATTACCTCAGCTCTAATAAGAGTGCCAGTGTAAATCTTGTGCTTTTAGCTGGTGCTGCAGTCACTGCTGGTAGTTGGCCTTTTGCACATAGGACTGGGAGGCAAATTGAGTGGCTGAAATAATTTTAAGCATAATAAATTAATTTTCATTTGCTAGGAGTATTTTTTATTTTAAGCTGATGTTTTTCTACTTTAAAAGATGAAGAGAAAATGTAGGTGTGTAGGTACTTATTTCATACTTCTAAATCTTCCTCTAAGTGGCTGTGGGAGCATAATCAGCCCTTATGAGGAACAGTCCAGCACCATGCTGGGTACTTCGTACTAAGTGCCAAGAATTACACAGTTGTGGGAAGAGTAACACATACAGAAAACACAGGGATACACCTCATTCAATAGAATTTTTTTTGTTTTTTTGTAGATTCTTTCAGATTTTCCTCATCCCAAAGTCATTCACATATGAATGTACTGGTAGACTTCAATGAAAATGGACATATGCTTATGTGTTTTAGTGATCTGATCCTTTATATATTGTAAGGGTCATGTTCTGACACTGCAGTTCTGTGCCATGATGTTTCATTGTGTAAGTGGTCTTCATAGCCTGCTCCTGGAGTCAGGTAGTGTTGACAGGAGTATGAATCAAAGTACAAGAAGTTCAAGCTTTCTCAGCAGGAAGGCTGGCAGATGATTATGTACAGTTCTATACATTCCTTTAGACCAGGAACCAGTTTTAGGAAGGAATTACATTTTTTTCCCATCTTCTATTTTTAGGAAAACATATATAGTGAATTTATTCCTTAAAGGAGCACATTTCTTTAGTTCTGCATTGATAAAGTATAAATTTCGTAAGAGATATCTTTAAATGTATAGCTATACAACACACTGTATATGAATGTTCACTATAACTTGCATATTAAGTTATGGGGTCTGTAGGTTTTTTTTTTTCTTCCCCAGAACATTAGCTGAATGAACTTCAATGCTGGATACCTGTCAAAGTTGGCTGGACATTTGATTTTGTTTTTCTTCAGTACCACAAGTAATATTTCTTTGTTTTTTCTTTTTCTTGTGTATTTCCCATCAGGAAGCATATGTTTTTCTTCCTCTTCTGACTTCAGGGCCTTCAAGGCTCTTTTGCTTTCTGTAGCTTTAAACTCTTCCCACGGACACTCTGATCATTCTTTCTTACCCAGCTATTTTGTGCTGTTTTTGTAATCATGCCATCTTGATTCTCTGCTCCAGTCCTAGAGAGCTTCATGGTTTGCCATTTGAAGTACCTCCAATTTCATGATGCAATTTGCTGCCATCAGGTTTGTTTCAGTGTAGTTGTATGTGTATAAACCTGTTCATTCAGGATGAAATGCCTTAAGTCAAGGGGTTTTTTTTGAGAGAATATAGAATACTAATTGGTTTTTTTTCTTAGTTACAGTAGTTCCAGTGCAAAAACTGTGTTCTACAGCTTCAGTTCTTCAGTGCGATGATGAATCTGCTAAATGTATTTTGATAACAGCATGGACAGCAAAAATCAGTGTATGTTTTGAGAGTCCCAATGCTATTTTTGTTGTCTTAAGCATCTAATGTTTGTTTTGACATACAATGCAAGACCAATTTAGGTGCTCTTTCTTATTTCCCTGGAGCATTTCAATTAGTGAGGCTGAAAGAATGGAGGAGAAAGCAACTTTCAGGATTAAAAGAATCATGAAATAGGTATCAGCAGGCTATTACTCTTCTAAGTTTTTTTTATTATGCTTACAGTGAAGCAGCCCTGGAAAGACTGAAGAGGTAAAGAAAGAAAAGAGGAGCTGACTTAAGTGTTTACCAGTAGCAAGACCTAAGAGAAAATGCAGATAGATTTACAAAGTATCCAGAGTGATTTTTTTCCTGTTACTGAAAATTTCAGTGTGTGCTATCTTAACCTAGCTCCCAGCACTACTTACTTCTGCCATCTCTGTATCATCTATTTGCTGAATGCAGTGCTCAGCTCTAATTTTGTAATTTTTCTGACAGGTCTCTGAGTCCCCCTTTCATACCTTCGATGG